CAATCTTCGGGAGGGGAAGGAAGGAAAACCGAAAAAAAAAGACTAAGAGAAAGAAACATAGGAATAACATAAAACAAAGGATATTGGATTTGATAAATTTAGTTCATTCGATCTGGACTAACATCTGGTCCAAATTGGACTAAAGAAACATTATACAGTCCAATCTTTAATCTAGAGTTTGAGAGTTTTGCGATCATGGTTCTATCTGAATTTAAATTGATGCATATCCTTAACCATAATATTGTTTATATTGATCATCAAATTTTTTTCCAACTAGTTTAATTACTATACATGATTTAATTACTATTTAAACCTCATATATTTATATTAGTTTTCAGAAAAAAAAAAATTACTTTTTGTTTCATATATTCTAACAGCAACGAAGTTATGTTTTACTATAATTTTGTATATTTTGATTACATTTACATATATTCAATATATTCATTGTATTAGTTTTTTTTTTTATTTTAAATTATTTTAATTGATCATTAAATAAATTGCCAAAATCTTATATTAAAAATAACATTAAATTGATAAATATAGTTGCTAATAAGTTAACATTTCTCTAGTTTTATTTAATAAAAATGAATTTAAGTAAATCATGTCTAGTAATTTCCCTTTTCTAATATTAACCCGATTAACGTTATTGTAAATTAAATATTCTTCGGCCATATAAAACCCATTAAGGGTGGTTAATTTGCTTGATTTCAGATGAATGTTCCATGGAAATTGACAGACACAAACATAATATAATATAATATAATATAATATAATATATATATAGATACATAATTAATCGTCAAACAACTTTTAAAAGTGAATGTCATTAAATTAAAAGGGTAAGAAATTGAAAGGCATTAAACTTGTATTATCCAATAATATTAATTAAAGCTCTCATAATCAAAGTTAAAACATAAATTTTTAAAAAAAAGGGATTTAATTTTCTTTTTCTAATTCGTAATTACTTTGTAAAGCTGACGTTAATGAGATCTGATTGGTATTTATAATGTTGTTTTAACGGTTTGAAACTTTTGATCATCAAATCAGAACCTCAAATCAATGCATGAAAATTACACAATCCAAATCTTTTGTTAGTCGCCGCCTGCTCTCATCATGGTTTCACGAAGCTTGTAAGAAACTTCACTCTTTAATTTCCATACTTACGTGTGTATATATGTATGTATATATATATATGTACATATAATTTCATCATCACCGACATTAAAAATATGTGAAAATTAATCTATATTTTTTAAACATAAAAAATATGGATTATTTTTTTTTAGTGCTTTCTTTCGGTGTTTTAGCATTATCTTTTAGGAAAAAAAATAATTTTAAAATAATTTTTATTTAAAATTTAAATTAAGTAATTAATATTAATACTAAATCATTCATTAACGAACTATTTATATTAAATATTTTGAATTGTTAATAATTTTATTTACCTGAATCTAGAGGTAAAAGAAAATGAACTAAGTGACTCAAATATATGCAATGTTTTATTAGTGTGTACGTAAATATATATGTATTGAGTTGAAATTAAATCATTAAAAGTGTATATGGTGTGCTCATCCACTTTTTTTTTCTTTTCACTGAAGATATAAATACCTCATTTTACGATTTAAAAATATATAGAATCAAAATCATTCAAACTATGTTAGGGTTTTCACTCGATCTATTGTATATTCTAAAATTTTTCTCATTTTTTTTTTTTGCACTCTTTGTTAATATTTTTAATAAATTCGTGTTCTACAATAGTTTTAGGGTTTTGTTTTTTTTGGTAATTTATATATTCATAACGATTTAGTATAATTTATCATCTTTTTAACAATTAAAATTAGTATGTCTATTAAATAGTGAGATCTCCACTTTTTTATTTTATCATATATATATATATACATGCATGTGATAGAGATAACAAAAAAAAAAAGTGAATTAACATAAAAGATTTCTGAAATTTATAAAATAAGAAGAAAGAAATAAAATTTAAAAAAAAACAGAAAATTTCTGAAAGATAATATGGTAATGCCACGTGACACCCCCAACATGAAAACAAAGTAGTTGGATACGCGCTCAACCTACCATAACTTTTAATATAAAGTATGCTAATTTAATAATTATTGAGATAAGACTTGAATATTATATCTTCTTTTTTCTTTTTTATCAATTTCATAATTTTTTACTCTATATATATACACACACGTATATTATTATTATTATTAAAATCATCGTTACGTTATATCTTTTAAAATGTACATACATTAAGATTACGTGCACGGGGTAATTATATAAGTATTGTATGATAATTTTACAAGCCATTAAATTCTCTAAATAACAAAGTTGATTTGCTAAATAGAACTCCATGTTATATAATGCTTTACTTGACGAACAAGAAGCTTGTGAGACAAACGCGGTTCATTTATCTAAATATTCAAATCTTTGACCCACCATTCAATTTATTTAATTAATTTAAAAGTCGGTGAGCTCTCTATTTTTCATACACTTTAATTTTATTAATTATTTTTTTTAGAATCCCACAAATTTTATTAGATACACTAACCCTTTACATATATATATATATATATAGTAACCCATTTAGCTATATAATGAAAAATAATTTATTTCGTAAAATAACCTTGAGAGAGAGCCTAGTCTAAAATATTTAAGAGTAAAATTGGAAAAATAGAAGTTGGATATTAAAATAAATATTTAATTAGTAGTAATTTGATGGTAAGCGTGTCAAACAAGCTCGTGACAAACGCGTACATTTGGAGAATTCAGAGTCAAAATGGACTCACAAGTAGCTGGCGACTTACTCAGGCAAACGCTGACGTGTTGCCTCTGCCGTTTCTTAACTTCCTTCAACATCTCCCCTACTCTCACCACATCACGCGCCTAAACTTATAGCCTCTCCCTTCAATTATCTCCTTTTATTAGAATGAAAATTCATATAATAAAATTAAAATAAATTATTATTATTATTATACATATATTTTTAGAAAAACATACCGAATAGAGATTCAAATATACAAAACGACTTTGTGAATAAAAGTCACATAAATAGTGGGTCTTGTTGAAACTTGAAAGTGCTTCTTCTCCATAAGTCAAGTAAAGATATAATTAACTTGACTTGAAAATTTTAGAATATATATATATATATTTAATTACAAAAATTCAGCAATTTGAAAATAATAAGATTAGAAAATACCATATATTTATTCGAAGAATAAAATAAAAGTGGTAAAATTAAAAAAAAAAGTAAAATTAATTAAGAAATTAAAATAAATGTTGAAAGAATTGGGGTAAACAAATTAGTGAAAGTCAACGGAGCGTGGGAAATAAAGCGAGTGAGAGTAACTGTTAGTAGAGGAGAAATCTGACTTTGTCAACTGAAGAACAAAAAGGTCGACACAAAGAACGGTTTCACATCTCTCTCTTTCTTCTTCCTTCCTTCTCCTGCTTCTTATAAATCCACTGCACCGTCTTCTCTTCAATCTTCACCTTCAAGAAACTCATAAAAATAATTTTAAGTTTCATTTCGATCAAATGGGAAAATCACCCGTTAGTCGTCGAGATCTCGCGGTCATGGCTGTCATGGTTGTAATCACGTTCGCATTACTCTGCTCTCCATCGCTCGCAAGGCCACTAGTTAGAAACAGCATGTTAGTGTCCCAGAAAGAATCTTCAAACCACCTCCTGCTTCCTGAGGAAAACGTTGTCGTAACGGATGTGGATAAAGACCGTGTTATGCCGTGTGATGAGGCGAGTCACCACCGGCCGAGGATGGTGAGAGGAAGATATGGAGCTCTGGTTCTGAATGTGCTGCCAAAGGGGACAACGCCGCCGTCTGGACCCAGCAAAGGAACCAATAACCTTAACAACTAGAGGCCGGAAACCTCATGTCTGTGGATTTCCAGGGTTTGATCGTCTGTATTAACTTGCAAGAGTTAGTTAAATTTATTCTTTTTACAAGAGGAATACTGTCTTCCTCTAATTAGTTATAGGTAAAGTTTGTATTTTTTTTTTCATTGATGTGTAAATAATCATGCATTTCAGAAATACAAGAGATTTATAATGTATTCGAAATACTTTCTCTTTTGATATTCTAAATTCGATTCTTGTTATTAACATTTTGAGATTAAAAATTTAAATACTCAAAGTTCGATATTGAAAGAGTGCATAGCCGGGATCGTCTAATGTAATTTTGATCTTAGTATATAAGAATTAGTTTTAAAATATTATTATCGTAAAAAATAAAAATTTATAAATAATTTATAAACAAATTTTTATAAAGGTATGATATTTTATACTATGAAAGTTAAATAAATATCTAACTTTTAAAATATATTAAATTATTAAATGTTATTTACATCTGACATATAATTTATTATTTTATTTATTTTTATAAAAATATAATAATTAAGATTAGATAATTAAAGAATTTTTATTTTTAACTTTATATTTTTTTAAAAAATGGTCGTCATCTTTTATCACTTAATTAAAAATTAATAATCACTAATTATTTTTAAACTATAGAGATTACTTTAGAAAAATCTCTTAACATATAAATTATATTATAACCTTACGTTTCAACCAATGGTTAGATATTGCGATGTAATGACGGTGGATGTGGTCAAATTGTTTAGGCTTGATTTTAGGTGGGTTTAATTAATTAATTAATTAATAATTACCTCAGTGTTAAAAATGATATTGAAATACTGTTCATTAAATCTAATTATTTAAATTTTATATTTATCAGAATTTTTTTTAATTTTTTTTATATGCATCATGAATTTTATTCGATTATTTTATTATAAAAATATAAATATAAATACATTTAGACTAATAAAAAAAAATATAGATATAAATTATATGTACTACCACTTTGTCAGCTATAATAAAGAAAGAAGACAGGGAAAAAAAGCTTATCTCGTATACTTTCTTTTAGAAGATGACACAATTATGATATTATATCAAATTCATTTAATTTATATATATTTACTACCAAGGAATTTTTGCCAGATGGTATAATATTATTTATATATTACGTTGGATTAAAATTATTTTATTAATATAATGTTATTTTATGTTAATTTTCTTTGGTGGGAGGAGTCTGTTGAATACTCTGGAAACAAGTAAAGAGTCATGTTTTGAGGAAGAAGAAGACAAAAAGAGAAGAGAAGCATCCGTCCATGGCGATGGAGGGTAGAAGTGCTGTGGCTGCATGCTTCTTTGTGATTCTTTGCTTATCGGCGCTCAAAGGGATGATAGCAGCGAGGATCAGCGGGGAGCCTTTGTTGCAGAGAAACGATGAAGGCAGTGGCTTTGGCTTTAGCAAATCATTTAATTATATTTTTGATACTTCCAAGTATGGTATTTTGCAGCTCAACAATGGTTTAGCTCGAACTCCTCAGATGGGGTACAGAATTTACTCTCCTGAAATTTCCTCTTTTTGTCTTTTTGGTTTTTAGTGCTCTGCCCATTTTTTAAGCTTTGTTACTTCACCAGGATTTCATGGGTCAATCAATGATTCAAGTAGGTGAAATGGAAGCCTTGCTTTTGTCTTATAATGGATATCTTTTCCTGGTAGAAATGTTCTGTTAAGATCTTTAGAGGGTTCTCAAATTATTAGAATGCTGGTGCTGTTTGAATTTTATTTCTTCTTGTTCCTATATTGGTGGGTTTAGTCGATGCTAGTTATTTCTGAGATTCTGAATACTGTATCTATGATTTTTCTCTTTTCTTGTTTGTCTGAGAAAAAAACGAAAATAAAGAACTGATATTTTCTACCGTGGAATACATTAGTAAGGATGAGGTTATAACTCATATAATCTAATTTGCAGATGGAATAGCTGGAATTTCTTTGCTTGCAATATCACTGAGACTGTCATTAAGGAAACTGGTATTGTTTTCTTCCAATGATATCTGTTCTTACTTCTTATTTATTTGGTCTACTGGGCTAATGGCCATTATGCTAGAATCAGCTATCTTATTTGCATGGAGGATGATCCTATAGTCCGTATTTCGTCTTGATGGTGGACGTTATTTTAATCCTGATCATTTAGAATTGTAATCCTAGGAAAATCAATTATAGGTAGTAGAATGGAGCATGCATTATTCTATATTGTTTCTTGCATGTATCTTGATTTATGAATGCCGTTAAGCTGTTTTTACGCCTGAATGTGTATAACCAGCTATAAGTATTTCTGGCTTTTGCTCCCTATTATATGTATGTAAGAACAAACATTTATTCTGGTTTTAAGTGAAGTGGCAGAGATCCCAATGTCTTCTTTTTTCTTTTGCTTGGCAGATTGGAAAAGACTTTCTTTTTAGTTCTTTTTGAACTCAATCCGGTGACTGGATCTACAAGTAACAATAGATTTAAATATACCTTCCTGTTGTTAGAGCTGATATTGAAAAATTCATCATTAGCAAATTATGGTTGTTTCCTTTATCAAATTTCATTAGAGGTACTAACATCATATTATGATTGACAGCTGATGCTCTAGTCTCATCAGGCTTGGCTGATTTAGGTTATGTATATGTCAATATAGGTATTGACTTGCATCCTTAAAATATTTCCTTCACCTTCAAATTTTGTTTCTTTTTTTATACTTAAGAGTTTTAATTGGACGCAGATGATTGCTGGTCCAATATTACACGAGATTCAAAGGTCAGTTGAGTCCCATCACTTACAATGGAATAGTAATTCATGTTAAGCTAATAATTGGCCTAGACAACAGTTGTCCTTGTTATTTTATGGGACTTCATATTAAGCTAATAATTGGTTTAGGCAACAGTAACACTTGTTATTTTATGGGAAACCTTTTTATCTTGCTCAAACAAATAGCATCGAAACTTCATATCATCTGCTTTCTTCCTGTTGAATACAAAAATTATTGTTGGATTAATTGCTATATCATTTCTTAATTGCTAATGTCACTGTTTATTGAGTGAGCTGATTGTTTTAGAATGTATACTTCCGAAATTGTGCAATGCAATTTCCACATAGATGAACCCTTTGTGTACTTTCTTGATTGTGCAGGGTCAACTGATCCCTGATCCAGAAACTTTTCCATCAGGAATTAAAGCACTTGCTGATTATGTTCATGAGAAAGGCCTCAAGCTTGGTATTTATTCAGATGCTGGGTAAGATGGAAATTTTGAAGCAACTGCTTGTAAATATAGGAGTTAGATCATAAACAATAAGTTCTCATACTGAATCAATTACAGTGATTATGTTCTGTTTCAATCTCCTAAGATCCCACTCCATTTTCAGTGTCTTTACATGCCAAGTTCGACCAGGGTCACTTTTCCATGAAAAAGATGACGCTAAACTGTTTGCTTCTTGGGTTAGTTTTTATTATCTAACAATTCACTCTCTTTTTTTTTTTGTCAGGTTTTTTATTAAAGTATTATTTTATATCCTTTTTCGTGGATGTTCTCTATTGCTTTTGAATAATAACTCTCTCAATCTCCTTTCTACCTTAAATATTGTTTCAAATTTCAACCAAAAAATTTAAAAGTATTTTGGATGGGAGTTCTTATCTTATTCTAGATAGTTTTTTCTTGTTTATTCTGACTGTTTTAATGTTTTATTCCTGTTATGCAGGGTGTGGATTATTTGAAATATGACAACTGTTTCAATCTGGGAATC